TTCGCGCAAAATCGTCCCAGTACTTTAGTACTGTACATTTAGTTCTGGAACTAAAGCGGTGCGAAAGGCCCTACTGTTGCCCTTTCCCCAGCATTTTCCATTTACGTGTTCCAACATCTAGCCCTCTATCAGCCTCTACTCTTTCTGGTCCTACACATCTCTCTTGGTTTTTGCTGTTAGCAGTTGTGTCGTCTGGCAGTGCGGTTTGAAATCCATCAAAAGATTCAAACTACAGCTGGTCGAATGTACAGTATTTGAAAAATAATGTGTTTTTTGAACATTAAAGCATTTCAACATATTCTGTTACACCAAATAATGATCTTTAAAAAAGCATCATATGACCCCTTTAAAGGTCCATTTACGGCAGGCTTAACTTGGTGCTGATAGAAATAAAACTGTTTTCGCAGTGAGGGTCCAGGTTTGATGGAGCTCCTAAGGGCTTGTTGGAAAGAAACTGGCAAAATGACACGTTCTGAGGGTGATTTGCCTCCAAGCTGTCAGTTACCAGACTTGGTCGTCTTGGATAAAGTCATATAAACAACACTGAGTCCCAAAACATGGTGCTGGGTTTGTTCACACTTAAGCAGAGAAATACTGAACTTTGGGCTTGTTCTTGTCATTAATCACACATATCATGACTAAACAGACACCTTTCTTTGGAACTAACTCTTGGTGAGAAAGTTGCCAAAAAACAGCTCATGGATGAGTGCATTTGGGAACATAAGAGTAGCTTTAGTAAATATTTCTGTCTCAGGAAGTTTAGTTATGGTCCTACTCAAAACAAACTCTTTTCGTGTTGTTTCCCTGGAATGTCCTTTGGGGCGATTGTATGTATTGAGCCATATTTATTGCAAAGGGTCAGGAGGTCTTTGAGACTGTAGATATTTCATTCTGTTGTGTGTTTCTGAGAAACGTTCATGAATAATATTTGGTTTCTGTAATTTAATGGACTTGTTTACATTGTTTCAGGCCCAACGTATGTGGTTCCCGCTTCCACTCTTATTGTTGTCCAGGATGGAAAACTCTTCCTGCAGGAAACCAGTGTATAGTTCGTAAGTATCTGCTACATTTGTTTTTTAAATTGCATGCTGGAGATGCCATTTACCTACTGTACACTTACCAAAATTTTGTGGTCACACTTTATTTTAAGGTCCAATTCTCGTTATTAACAACTATGACTTTTGCCTCAATAAACTCCTAATTTATTTATTTTAAAGGGTTAGTTCACCCAAAAATGAAAATTCTGTCATTAATTACTCACCCTTGTGTTGTTCGAAACCCATAAGACCTTCGTTTATCTTCGGAACACATTTTAGGATATTTTTGATGAAATATGAGGGCTCTCTGACACTCCCATAGACAGCAAGGTAACTACCACATTCAAGGTCCAGAAAAGTACCAAGATGATCGACAAAGTAGTAGCTACGAGAATACTTTTTTGCGCAAAGAAAACAAAAATAACTACTTCTTTCCACATTTTCGTCTCTACTGCGTCACTTGTGGACACGCGTTCACGACAGTACCATGACGCGAGCGTGTGGCGGTGCTGACCCAGATCTGGCGTAATGACGTCACAGTTATTTTTGTTTTCTTTGCGCAAAAAAGTATTCTCGTAGCTTCGTAACTTTACAGTTGAACCACTGATGTCACATGTACTACTTTGTCGATCATCTCAGTACTTTTCTGGACCTTGAACGTGGTAGTTACCTTGCTGTCTATGGGAGGGTCAGAGAGCCCTCAGATTTCATAAAAAATATCTTAAATTGTGTTCCGAAGATGAACGAAGGTCTTATGGGTTTCGAACAACACGAGGGTGAGTAATTAATGACAGAATTTTCATTTTTGGGTGAACTAACCCTTTAAGTCTAAGCCTTTATCTCTTGGGGGTTGTGTTGTGGTTAAAGTTCTTGGGGTCAAACTCAAGAAAGAGCAATTAATGAACTGAAGAGTTGCTGATTTCCCCCTGACGTACCCTCGAGTTAGCCTAAGGCTAAATGGGTAACACTTTAGTTTAGGGACCAATTCGCTCTAATAACTAGTTGCTTATTAGCATGCCTATTATTAACATATTGGCTGTTTATTAGTACATATAAAGCACATATTCTGCATGACCATATTCTACATCCCTAATCCTACCCCATACCTAAACTTAACAACTACCTTACTAACTATTAATAAGCAGCATGTTTTTGCACCCATGCAAATGGCATGTCCTAAAGCTGCATACAGTTAATTATTCTTGAGTACTATCCATTTGTACGTATGCTAAAAGATCAAAATGCCTTGTCATGAATATTTTTGTCTCTCCAGCGATCTGTAGGAACTTGTGTGGGGATGGCTTTTGCTCGAGGCCTAATATGTGTACCTGCTCCAGTGGTCATCTTGCCCCTAGCTGTGGTGCGGCCGCAGGTGAGTTCAGTCATTACAGTTTCAAGTTGTCACCCACATTAGTAGCAAACTCCCTGGGCTGTATGAAAAACACATTATGACTAGTTCATCATTTCTTTTTTATTTTTGGCCATTTTGGTGCGTTCATTCATAGGCATAGTTTAGAAAAGGAGGAACTGGATATAAAATGACTTTAACCGCTAGGGCACAGCTTTGACTGTAGATGTGCTTTTTTAAATAATTCTCTCTACTCTGCTTGCTTCCTTTGCGGTTGAAGGGCTTGTCATTATTTTGAACTTTTCCTTGACATTTCCAGCGATTTATTTGGTTGAAAGTTGAAATTGAGCAGAGATTTGGCCAGAAAAACTGTGAAATCGCTCTGACAATGTATAGTGTTTCATCCTTTGAATTATTAGCTAATGTGAAGCCAGGAGTGTTTTTTGTTGAGATATGTTAAATTTGAGACCACACGTCCACTGGTGAAACCTTGCACCAGCCGTTTTTATGACTTACTTAGAAAAACGTGATTGATTTTGTTTAGATGGTGCTGGGAAAAGTAATGACTGTTGGTAATTCCTGGATGAGGTGTTTAGCATTAGCGCAGGTTTCTCTTACTGCACTTGCTTTCTGCCAGTGGCGTCCAGCCGTTTCTCAGCAAATGCCTGGAATATGCGGTCATAGACAAATAAACCCAAATGCACCAAACCATAGGGTTCGGTCTCGTAAGCTGCAAAACCAGAGTCAATTTATTCGGCAATGATAAATTGACCATCTAATTCGGCTGCCAGTCCTCTGACTGTTTGAAAGCAAATACTAAACATACGCTTGTACTCTGTTTTGGCAGCCTTATGAGATTTGCGAGATTGTTAATGCTGTCATTACGCCTAACAGACCGCGTACCGTCTACAGTGGTTGGGAGCGGCCACATTTATAGTCAGCTATGAATCTGCAATTACTCCATAAATAACAAGCCACAACATGGATGCTAGCCTTAGCCATTAGTGTCCAAAACACTGCAGCTGTGCTAAAGATACTGTAACGCTAACCTCTTTCTCTTCATCATTAATGTCTGATTACCATACTTCTAAATGTATTATGTTATGCCACCAGCAGTGTTATTTTAGTATCATTAATGTACTATTAAAGTGTTTGTACATTTTTGTATCTTATCCAATTTAGTTAAACTTTTAGTAATTTTGTTTTAGTAATTTTTATTGTTTTTTTGTAACACATTACATTTGTTAACACTAGTTAACTACATTAGTTAACAAGTACTATAAAATACTAATTTTAGTTCATGTTCATTTCAACATTTATTAATACATTATTAAAAAAAAAGTATCCTAGTATTTTTTAATGGAACTGAGCTGACGTGAACCAGCAATAAATAGCTGTATTTTTATTAACTAATGTTAACAAAAATTAATAAATACTGTAACAAATGTATTGCTCTTTGTTAGTTAATGCATTAACTATCTTTAATTAATAAGACTTTATTGCAACAGTCTCTATAGATTTTGTAAAAAAAATATTTTAGTTATTTTAGTACTTCAAGCTTAAACTAAACGAAAATGAGAAATGTTGTCTTGGCAGCTAAATGAAAGAAAAGTTTTGTTTTAGATATTTTAGTACTTCAAATTAAAACAATAAATTAAAATTAGAAATGTTGCTATGGCAACTAAATAAAATGTTTATATTTTTTTATTTATTTCAGTTGATGTTTATTGTATTTCAAGTAATGAAAATGTTATTTAATAATTTTAGTTTTAGATAATAATCCTGGCCGATAGATCTTAAGATGAATCTCTGGATTTGTAATACAACACAGAACAAGAACTATCGCTCCCTGCTATAATTCAAGAAACGATTTGTTTTCATGTTAAACCCCATCATGTCTCGTTGGTGAATCTGATGTCGACAGGCCACGGATCTAAACTCCACACTGCGCCACGAGAAAGAAACGGCCATAAAGGACCTCTGTTTCTCAGCCTCGCTCATGTTTCCTGCCATCATCGTAGCTTGTAAAAAACTGACAGATGTGACTACTGCAGACAGAGGTGCATTGTGGGGTGGCAGGCCTCGGGGAGCCCTGTTTTGCTTGCGTGTGCAGCTCACTTAGCATGGGTCAGCGAATGAACCACCTGTAGGGGGCCGTCGGCAGGTCTAGCCAATGAAATTAAGTCATTTCCTGCGCTTTAGGAAAACACGGCCCATGCTCAAACATTTCCAGGCCTTGCCGTTGAAAGCATGCCATCAGCGAAAAAACAAAAAGCACTCATGTTTGATCTACATCCATCCATGTGAAATCAGACAAAAACAGACAAATTTTTTACAAAAAAATAAGTTTATTTTAGTTTGTTCTTTTTTTAAGTTTATTTAAAAGGATTAGATCATGGCAGGCAAAGATGAAAGGAATAAATGAAGAACTGTTACATATTTTTTGTCTGGGATAAGCAGTAGCTTGATTTATATTTGGGCTGAAGCGTAATGGCACGATGCCTTTGTTTAGACAGAACGAAAGAGTTTGGCGAGAGCAACGTTTTGATGCAACCGATCGGGAACATCAGTCTTTTGAAAAACTCGGTGCGAGAGTCCCATCAGAGATGATTCATTGTGCTTATGTCAGAATGTTTTCATATACAAACGCTATTGAAAGATTCTTCACTAAGTGATTCTGTCTCTGCCAAAAGAATTCCTATTTCTTGAAAATTGGTGGAAAGTTAATCTACTTGTCCAAAAAAATGTCTGGTTGAAAATCAGGATGAAAATAGGCTTTTGTTGGCTGAGTCAAATTGCTCTTACCACAAATTCGATTGGCGGTTGCTTATATTGGAAAGACAATAAGAAGTATAAGAATTAAAGGTTGTTCTCAAATACATACTGTAAGTATGACTAGTGTTGTCAAAAGACCCGGTATTTCGGTACCAAGTCGGTGCTAAAAAAATGAAAACGTTACGGTACCAGGTTTTCTTAAGTACCGGTTCTTGATGCGCTAAACGAAAGCTATCCTCTTCCAGTGTTGCCAAGTCCGCAGTTTTCCCGCGGAATTGGGCTGCTTAACACTGAAATTGGTACCGAGAACTGTGGATTTTCACTGGTATCGGTACCGAATACTGAAATTTTGGTACCGTGACAACACTAAGTATGACTAAATAAAATAAATAGTGAGAGGGAGATACAGTAAACTGAAATGTACACCAATGTAAGGGCATACAAACAGTTACCTATGTAAAGTTGAATAATATAACAATATTCAAAATATAAGGCTGTGTGATAAAGCAAAAAAATATCTTTTTTTTTGAGCTTTATATTATTTTCAATATTTCTGCATTTCTGCAGGAAGCTTCATTTCCATCAAAGAGTGTAAAAATGTCATGCAAGAACTATAAACTGGTAAAAATCTAGTGTAAAAAATGCTTCACACACTGCTTTTCATGAAATAATGTTTTAATTTTAATACATGAAAAATGCCACATGGGAACTTTTACTTGATTTTTCGAAGTTGTAAATAAAGATGCTATTTCAGTCTTTCTACTTAAAATTTTCATGTTTAAATCAGTGTGTTACTTGCTATTTCTCTGTAATTATTTGTGATATTTATTTTAGCAATTTCTGAGTGTTTAAAATAGTTTAAAAGTAAATTACACAGCATTTTTTCGCGCAATTCATCACAGAGGCAACAATATTCATAGTGTACAATGCCAAGTTTATTAGAAAGCAGTTTGAACTAATTCCTGGAAATTAATCAATGATTTTTTTGTAATATAAGAATGTTTCTGACTGATTTTTTTGTGTTATTCCCAAATAATGGAGTTACTTTTAGCTGCAAGCATGGTTCATTGTTATACTGAGCACAACTGAGCACTCTAGACGAATTATAATCACCTCTCTTGTCTCTGTACAGTCCAGTCCTGCAGCGTCAGATGCATGAATGGAGGGGTCTGTAATGAAGATGCCTGCTCTTGTCAGAAGGGCTACACAGGAACGCACTGTGGACAGCGTAAGTGAATTTTTCTTTTCAGAGCGTCCCGACATCTCCACATACCTGACCAGACACACACAACAATAGATGATTTTACAAGAGTTTGGCTTACAGACACAAAAGATCTTAGAATGTGTTTAAATCCAACTATATATTTCTCTAAATATTTTAATTTTGTTTTATTTTTATATTAAAATTTTTAAATTATTTTACATTTTTTCTTTTTTTTAAATTCACAATCTTGTAATGAAGCATCAAGAACTTTCTAAACATTTCAAAGAACCATATAGCAACTCAAAAACCCTATTTGCATTTTTTTAAGTTTAGGATAAAATATAATAAAATAAATTCTCTCATTTGACCAATTTTGCTTTCTGTAGCTGTGTGTGAGACTGGATGTCAAAATGGCGGCCGTTGTATTGGACCCAACAGATGTGCCTGTGTCTACGGTTTTACTGGACCACAGTGCGAGAGAGGTAAGCCACCACTACGCTTCCAAAGTTCATATTTTCTCAAGTCTTAATTGTGTTGACGTCTGTTAGGATGTGCGGTTTGTTTACCGTCTCAGGCCTGCTTCAAGAATGTGGTAACACTGTGTCAATGTGACCCAAAAATGCTCAGAAGGGAAATTTACAATACTTTAGTTTCGAGGCGGTGCGATTCCCCCTTCACTGTAGCTGGTGTGAAATTAATGCTACAGTTTACATTGTGGCCACGTCTCTCAAAGCAGGAACAATGAGGTTATCTGGGGCGAAAAAAAGGACGAAAGCCTCCCTCACGGGTGCACAAGACATTCTGTCACAGGTGAAATTCTTGGCTGGAGTTATGAGAAAATGACAGACTGAAAGGACCGTAAAGGCAGCTCCCATCAGACCGTGTGAATTGTGGGAGAGAAGCGCCCCAGGCACACTAGACCGAATACCTAAGCCCTTTTTCGGTACTCCACCCTCCTGCATCTGGTTCTCTGTGTGACCCCACCCCTTCACGAAGCCCCCTTCTGCAATCGTAGGCCGGTTCCCTTTGAAAACCCAACACAGGGAGGCAGAAGTTTGGGAGACATCTGGCAATAGATAAAGTAGGGTGGAAATGACAAGGGAACAATTCTGTGTGGAGCCGTAGACTTTTCTGACAAGAAAGGGTGGTGGTGGAGGGTGTTCTCCAAGAAATGGAGACCCCAGCTGTGTATACACAGCCAGCCCTGAACTAGTACAAAAAAATCACTTCACATGGAGAGCGCCGTCCACAGGACACCAGCTGCCCCCTGGCAGCTCCATTCTGGGCCACCCGACCAGATCCATTCAGTCCAGACTCTCGTCTCCGAAACCCCCCAGACTTACCCTCAAGGTCCTTGCTTGTAGATTATAAAAACGTCACACTAAGCAATTAGTCATTTCACAGTTAAAGAGCAGAGATAGACTCTTTATTTAGCCTGTCTCAGGCATGCCTGTTTATCATCAAGTGACTGGATTTCACACAGTTGATGAATTTCCAAAAGATGATGCAGTTTTGCAAAAGTCCTGATGTCAGTCTCTCTATTTGGTTCTTTCAAAAAAGCCAGAACCGTCTTCCAAGAAAAAGATAGTAACAAAGAAATTGGATCCTAAAAAGACTGAAGCACAATAGTTGGCTCGCGTTTTTTATAAAGTAAAGAAGAGTTCTGCGAACATAATGCAAGCTCAGCTGTGAGTCGGGCACAGTTTATAGGGGGAGTTAAGCGAGTTAACGGTAAGAATGGTGTTATCCTCATCTAATTCGTTTTCCATTTAGCCACGTGTGCTCTGTGTTATCGCTTACCGTGGCCCACACCAAAACAATGTGTAATACTCTTTCACAGTTGAGGGTTGACTTTGCGCAAGGTCATGGGTCACTATTCAATTTTAGTTGCATCAATTACCACTGTTTTAGCACAGATGGCATTGCTTTTTTGTGTGGTGCAATGGATTCTAGAGAAAAGGGTTTTCCGAGCAATGAAATATGACTAATCCTCCTGTAGCCACAAGAGAATGAATGAATGAATGAATGAATGAAAGGACTGAGGCTCGCTGGACTCATTGTGGGCTAGCTCATTTGGGAGTCATTAAAGTGTTGAAACCTTGGCTTGTTGGATGTGTACGACAGAGATAAGATGTGAAGAGATTGCCGGTCTTATTTAGCCGTACTGTAAATCACTGAGCAGTAAAAGAGTTTGTTGGTTCGTCCGAAAATCTTCAAAGCCTTTCACAGGAATGCTTGAGCGTCTAATGTTTCCTTTCTACCCCCCTTTTTTTCTTCAGACCTATGTGAATGAACTTCTGCTTCTCCCCAAGTGAAAACACATTTCTTATCTTGGTGTGTACTCTGATTAAACTGAAATAGGTCACAACAAAGCGAGCGACTATTCCCAGTCATTGACTCTTGAGCACGTTTTTGGCTGCGCTTGGGGTTTCCACCTGCAGTTGGTCCCCGCAGCTTAACGTTCCAGACTAGATTAACTTCTCTCTGGCTGATTTTTCATTTCTTAGAAGGTCTTTCATGACAATCTACTCCTTTTCGGTCCATTAGCACAGAGGATGATAAAAACAGGCCAAGTCGTTGGAGTGTGAAGAAAGCTGGAATTCCTCCTGCCAAATTATGCTGCCGCTCAATCTTTGGACAAGTGTGAATGCCACACATCAGCGACCTTCTGAGGCATCGTTTTTCCCCAACTTGCCTCATGATTCATGATAATGTATGCTGAATAGTTGGCAGAAGTCGCTGGCAGGGAAACACTGTGGTGACTAAACGGAAAGTAGAGGTGAGTGAGCATTTGGCAGGATAGGGTGTAGGTGAATGGTTTTGATCTGAGAAGCCACTCGAACTGTAATCAAGGCGAAATTACTTCCGAATGTTGTTTGCATCACAGACACATCCCCCCTTCTCCAGAATATGAGTCTGCTTGCTTCTGGGAAGCAAGGTCTGTGCATTGTTGCCAAGTTTGCCAACGTGACATTGAGGTTAACCGGTTTCCCTTTTGCCTTGCAGATGTGTTGCAACGAGATTGCAATCTTTTGTATTAAAGTGCTCAAAGGAGTCCAGTCTTTAGCGTGGACCTACCGTGTTACACTGAATTTATTCTTCTGGCCGTGTGCGCATACAAACGGTTCTGTGCAGAAATTGGCTGGTTCGAAAAACGTGATGGCTTCCGAATGATGTTGGCCAGAGCCTTCAGACTCCCGGGCTCCAGTTTCATTGCAGATTAAAGGGTTGTTAGACAGACCTGAGCAGCTTCAAGGATGTTCTTATGGCAGACGTTTCTCAGGACCTTCTTTGTTATTGTCCTTCACTGCAGAGCAACTTTTGACGTCCATGTCCGTGTAGGTATTGTACAACTTCTTACATGTCCGGAAAACTAGTCGACCCTTCAACAAGTCACACTTTACCTTATGTAAATGACTCAATACTCATGTGTGATCCACTAGTCAGTTGTGCAAGTTACCTCAGAGTAGAAGTCCCAAGGTTGTTCCTGCTTATAGACACTATTTTTAAAGCACTGCATTTGTTTGCTCCTAACATGGGAAATTACCAAATCAAGAAAGTCTGACTTCATAGATACGCCCCAGAAGGCTTTATCCATATGAATATTATCACTCACAGCAAGAGTCAAAGCAACAATATAGAGAGGCTGATGAATTGGAGTACTGGATACGCACGGACACATATTGGCCTTAGCTTGTCCCCGTAGTCCTGACCAGGCACAATTAATCAATCCCAGATGTGCATAGGATGCTCGCCTCTACTTGGAGAGGACCTGCATTCCTAGACTCAAATCGTCCAGGAAGAATGGTCAGGTCAGGGGAGCGCAGGAGGGACGAGGAGAAGGGACAGCAAAGGGATTTGAAGGCACGTGAGGGGGAAATCTTCATAGGCCTTTCTTCCTTTTTTGTCTTCTCCTCATGACCTACTTTCTTAGTGCCATTTCCCTTCCTCTTGGGTATAGATATATGATTTAGCTTTTGTTTGGCATGCAATATTATGAAGGATATGGAAAGATTTGTTCATTTCTTTAAGGAACGATTAGGGTCAGGAAGTCATTCATATCCCGCTAGAGTAAACTGACTCTCACACTATACCCCAAACAAATGCAGGATCTCGTTCAATTACATTTTCAAAACATCACTAGCAAAGACTTGGAAGATGCAATATCGCACAGCAGGGCATCTCTTTGAGTTTTATTAAACAGAAATGACTGCATCCTGAAATGCTCAGTTTATGTCAGTGTCGAATTGGTTTGTTTGATGCTCAAAACATCATTAATGTGATTAAGTCAACTCAATTGGCAACCAGCACAAAGGAAGTCAAAACTCATAGCCAAATCTCCAAATGTCAAAACAGTGCTAGAACCACTATCCCACATTTTGACCTCAGCCAAAAACAAGATGGTTTGTCATGGAAATTGCCATTATCGATGCAACCCAGCAATTTCTTAGCGATTATCTGGTTATCCTATTATAAGTCTGTGAAAGAGAATCCCTGTCAGAGTATTCCCAGACCGACCTCCAGCATGGGAATGATTGGGAAACAGCTGCGTGGTGGAGAATATGAATCTGCTGCTTTCTTTATCCACAAATGTGATTTCTTGTGGTCGTAATTTCTTGGTTGCATGTCATAATGTTTGTCAGCACTTGTCTTATCATATTATTGAAAGGTTTTGTCGGCCTGTGTTGGCTTGCTGGTCTTGGCTGGTTTATTCTAGTTTAGCAATTGGCCAGCTAGTCAAAGTGCCACCAAACCAGACCCAGGTCAGCTAAGACCAGCATACCAATTTAGATCAGTTTAAGCTGTTTTTATGGTTTTGGGATGGTATTGTACCCTGAAAGGCTTTTTCACTGTATGAAAAACCAATGTTGTTTTCATGTACTTATTGACGCTCTTTATCCCTCCCAAAATCAGACTACCGGACCGGGCCATGCTTCACACAAGTCAACAACCAGATGTGCCAAGGTCAGTTGAGCGGCATTGTGTGCACCAAGACGTTGTGTTGTGCAACCATCGGGCGAGCATGGGGTCACCCATGTGAGATGTGCCCTGCCCAACCCCACCCTTGCCGAAGAGGTTTCATACCCAACATCCGCACTGGTGCTTGCCAAGGTAAGAATGAGCGTCAAC